TCTGAAGCTGCGACCATTTATTGATAAATATCTCAATGTGATCCTTCTTTATAGCTGAATAATACTCCATTGTATAGAAATACCACAACTTTTTTTATCCATTCCTGAGTTGATGGACACTTGGGTTGTTTCCAAGATCTGGCGATTACAAGTTGTGCTGCTATAAACATAAGTGCACATATATCACTGTGGTATGATGTTTTCAGTTCTTCTGGGAATATGCCTAGAAGTGGAATAGCTGGAATAAATGGGACTTCCAATCCCAGCTTTTTGAGAAATCTCCAGACTGACCTCCACAAAGGCTGCACCAGTCTATACTCCCACCAACAGTGCAGGAGAGTTCCTTTTTCCCCACAGCCTCTCCAGCATTTGTTGTTGTTGGTTTTCTTGATCCTGGCCATTCTTTCAGGAGTGAGATGGCATCTCAGTGTGGTTTTAATTTGCTTTTCTCTAATGACCAATGATGATGAGCACTTTTTCATGTATTTATTTGCCATTTGCATTTCTTCATCTGAGAATTGCGTATTCATCGCAGATGCCCATTTTTGGATTGAATCTTTGAATTTTGGGGTCTGAGTTTTTAAAATTCTTTACATGTTTTAGACAAGAGGCCCTTGTCTGAGAGAGAGTTCACTAAAATCTTTTCCCAGTTTGTGGGTTTTCTTTTCACTATGCTGGAGATTTCTTTTGACATGCAGAAACATTTTAATAAGAAGTGGTCCCAGTTATTGATTCTGGGAAGTATTTCCCGTGAGGTTTGAGTCCTGTTCATGAATCTCTACCTATTCCTATGTCTTCAAGGTTTCTACCCAATTTGTCTTCCAATAGATTTAGTGTTTCTGTTTTAATATTCAGATCTTTGACTCATTTAGATTTTAATTTAGTACATGGTGATAGACATTTAGTTTTTGGCAAACGGAGAGCCAGTTTTTCCAGCACGATTTATTAAAGAGACTGTCATTTGGGCTGGGGATTTAGCTCAGCGGCATAAGCTCCTGCCTTGCAAGCAGGCGGTCGTGAGTTCGATCCCCGGTACCGATAAAAAGGAAAAAGACAAAAAAAAAAAAAAAAGAGAGACTGTCATTCTTCCAGTGAACCTGCTTGGCTCCTTTATCAAAGATAAGGTGGTTGAGTGTGTTTGTAGTTGTGGTTGTCTCTTCTAATCTATTCCATTGATCTTCAGCTCTGTTTTGATTCCAATACCATGTTGATTTTACTACTGTTGCTTTGTAGTATAACTTCAAGTAAGGGATTGTGATGCCTCCTGCTTTGTCTTTGCTGCTTAGAACTGCCTTTGCGATTCTAGGTCTCTTCTGGTTCCAGATGAAATTTAGGAGTGATTTCTCTAGATCTATAAGGTATGTTGATGGTATTTCTATTGGGATTGCATTGAACCTGTATAAGAGTTTTGGGAGAATGGCCATTTTCACAATGTTTGTTCTTCCTATCCATGAGCAAGGGATGTCTTTCCATTTTCTGAGATCATCTTCAATTTCTTTTTTCAGTGTAGTATAATTTTCACTGTATAAGTCTTTCACTTCTTTCGTAAGAGTAATTCCTAAATATTTCATTTTTTTTGCTTGCTAATGTGAAGAGTGTAGTTTCTCTTATTTCCTTCTCTGTGATTTTGTTGTTCGTGTATAGGAATGTTATTGATTTCTGAGTATTGATTTTGTATCCAGCCACATTACTGAATTTATTTATTGTATCTAAGTGTCTTTCAATGGAGTTAAGGGGGTCTTCTATGTAGAGTATCATGCCATCTGCAAACAATGATAATTTAACTTCTTCTTTTCCTATCTTTACCCATTTTATTTCTCTTTCTTGCCTAATTGCTCTGGCTAGTACTTCCAGTACTATATTAAATAGCAGTGGTGATAAAGGACATCCTTGTCTTGTGCCTGATTTTAAAGTAAAGGCTTTCAATTTTTGGCCATTTAGTATGATGCTGGCTGTTGGTTTGTCATAAATGGCCTTTATTATATTGAGGTAAAGACCATCTATTCCAATTTTCTGTAAAGTTCTTATCATGAATAAATGTTGGACCTTATCAATGGATTTTTCTGCATCTGTAGAAATGATCATATGATTCTTATTTTTGGCTTATTGATATGGTCGATTACATTTATTGATTTACGTATGTTGAACCATCCTAGCATTCCTGGGATGAATCCCACTTGGTCATGGTGTATAATCTTCTTGATGATTTGCTGCATCCTTTTTGCCAGTATTTTATTGAGGATTTTTGCATCTGTGTTCATTAGGGAGATAGGTCTATAGTTCTCTTTTTTAGTTGGGTCTTTCTCAGGTTTTGGTACTAGAGTAATATTTGCTTCCAGGAATGACTTAGGAAGGATTGTTACCCTTTCAATTTCACTGAATAGTTTGAGGAGTGTCGGCATTAGGTCTTCTTTGTATTTCTTGTAGAATTCTGCAGTGAATCCATCTGGGCCTGGGCTCTTCTTGGTGGGTAAGGACTTAATTACATTTTCAATTTCATTAGCAGAGATTGGGTTATTCAACAGTTTTACATCCTCTTGATCTAGCTTTGGTACTTCATATGTTTCTAAGAATCTGTCTATTTCTTCTGTGTTATCAAACTTTTGAGAGTAGAGGTTTTCAAAATAGGTGTTTGATGACCTTCTGTATTTCTATTGGGTCTGTAGTGATTTCACCTTTTTCATTTCTTATTGCATGAATTTGAGCTTTTTCTTCCATTTTTTAAACAAGGTTGGCTAGGGGCTTATCGATTTTATTTATTCTTTCAAAGAACCAACTCTTTGATTTGTTGATTCTTTGGATTGCTTTCTTAGTCTCTATTGCATTGATTTCTGCTCTGATTTTTATAATTTCCTCTCTTCTTTTGGCTTTGGGCTTGACTTGCTGTTCTTTTTCTAGCTGTTTGCGGTGTAGCATCAGGTTATTTATCTGTATTCGTTCTATTTTCCTGATGTGGGAACTCAGTGCAATAAATTTTCCTCTCAGGACGGCTTTCATGCATCCCACAGATTCTGGTAAGTTGTATCTGCCTTTTCATTTTTTGTAGGTATTGTTTAATTTCTTCTGTGAACCACTGATTACAGAAGAGTGTGTTATTCAGCTTCCATGTGTTTGTGGGATTTTTGCAGTACCTTTTATCATTAATTTCTAATTTCAGAGCTCTATGATCCAATAACACACAAGTGATGATTTCAACTCTTTTGCATTTGTTTAAATATGTTCTGTGAGCTAATATATGGTCTATTTTAGAGAATCATGCATATACTCCTGAGAATGTGTATTCTGAGGTTGTTGGGTGGAACATTCTGTATATGTCTATCAAATCCATTTGTTTGCAGGTATGATTCAGTTCTGTTATTTCTTTGCTCATTTTCTGTCTGGTTGATCCATCCCTTGATGTCAATGGCATATTAAGTTATCCTTGTTACAACTGTGTTGCTGATAATTTGAGTTTTCATTTCTGTTAATAGTTGTGTTTCATAACTGGGTGCTCTGGAGTTTTGTGCATATATATTTAAGATAGTTATCTCTTCCTCTTGGAGTTTTCCCCTAACGAGTATGTAGTGACCTTCTTTGTCCTTTATGGTCATTGTTGGTTTGAAGTTCACGTTGTCTGCAAACAGAATGGCTACTCCTGCTTTTTTTTTTTTTTTTTTTTTTTTTTTGGATTCCTGCTGCATGAAGTATTGTTTTCCATCCTTTGACTTTCGGTCTGTGAGTATCCTTCTGGGTTAGATGGGTTTCCTATAAACAGCATATGGTTGTATTTTGTTTCTTGATCCATTCTGCTAGTCTGTTTCTTTTGATTGGTGCATTGAGACCATATGCATTCATGGTTATTTCTGTTAAATGCCGGTTTATTGTTGACATGTTATCTCTCTGCTGTTGCATCTTTATCTTTCTGTTCTGTTTAATTATTTGCTTTGCTTAGTGGTTTTTTCCTTTGTGTATCTAAACTGTCTTTCAATATTTTTTGCAAGGTTGGCTTGGTGTTCATGAAGTTCTTCAGCTGTTCTTTGTCATGGAAGTATCGTATTTCACCATCAATTTTGAATGATAGTTTTGCAGGGTACATCAGGTAGGTTGGAAATCATTTTGCTTTAGGATCTGGAATACTTCACTCCGTACTCTTTTTGACTTTATTGTTTGTGCTGAGAAGTCTGCTGTGATTCTGATAAGTTTTCCTTTATAAGTGATCTGTCTTTTCTCTCTGACAGCTTTTAATAATTTATTCTTGTGTTGGATTTGTGGATGGTGATTATTATATGTCTGGGTGTAGTTTTATTTTGGTATGACTGTTTGGAGTTTTATATGCTTCACTGATCCTGATGTCAGTTTCTGATCTCATGCTTGGGACATTTTCAGCTATTACTTCTCTAAATATCCTCCTGACATCCTTCATGTTGTCTCCCTCTCTTTCATTAATCCCTATCATTCTTATGTTATTTTTCTTTGCATCGTCTTGCAGTTGTTGAATTGTTGTTTCCTGATTCCTTGTTATTTTCAAAAGATCTTTCCTTTCCTGTTCACTAGCGGCAATTCTGTCTTCAAGGTCTGAAATTCTATCTTCAATTTCATTGAGGCGGTTTTTACAACTTTCAGTGGAGTTTTTTATTTCTGGTATATCTCTGTGCATCTGCATTATGTATTCTGTTTGTTTCTTATATTGCTCATCTAGGGATTCTGTCTTTTTGTTCAGTTCCTCCAATTTTTGAACTGTGTTTTCTTTAGATATATTCAGAATCTCTTTCATTTCTTTTATCATTTCTTCTTTTACCTGGGAGATTAATTCGAGTTTGAATTCCTTTAAAGCTTCCTGGAGTTGCTTGTTAATTTCAGTGCCTATTATGTCCAATGTTTGAGGTGAATGGCATATATTTTCTTCTATATACATCGCTCCTAGAGTTTCTTGAGATGGGCTGGAGGTTTGAGGTTGTAATTTTGTTTTTCATTTTGTCATTTTCCTATATTTCTGTGTTTCAAATGTTATTTGAAAGCTTAAAAATGTGGAACGCTGCACAAATTTGCATGTCATCATTGCTCATGGGCCATGCTAATCTTCTCTGTATCATTTCAATTTTAGTATATGTGCTGCAAAAGCGAGCACAAAAGTTGTTTTCTTTCAGGGCTTGAAATCCTCACTCCAAACTCCTCTCGACTCGAGGGTTTTTATTTAAAAGTCTGTTGTGATTCTAATGGGCTTTCCTTCACAGGTAAATTGCATTTTTTCTATAACTCTTTTAGTATTCTGTTTTTGTGCTATATGTCTGAGATCTTTAATATTATATGTCTGGATGTAGATTTATATTGGTTGTGACTATTTGGCATTCAATAGGCCTAACTCATCTGCATATTAGATTTTTTCCCATGTTTGGGAAATTTTCTGCTCTTACTTCTGTGAATAGTTTAGTTATGTGATTTGCATTGCCTCCTGCATCTTCACTGATGCCTATTACTCTTACATTGTTGCTCTTGGCATCATCTTGAAGTCGCTGGATTGTCATTTCATGCTGCTTTGTTATTTTTAATAGTTCTATCCTTTCATGATCGCTAATTGCAATCCTGTCCTCAAGGTCCAAAATCTTTCTTTTTAAATTTTTTTTAAAGAAAGACTAAACAAAACAGAAAATATGTATAAATAATACATACTTTCAGAGAAAAAAATAAACAGTAGGAAATCACTAGTTGATGTTTATATATTGTCATTTTACAAATAGTTGTTCAAGATACAAAAATGGAAGTTCTAAAGTGCGAATTCAAACAGTGAGACCGCAAACACTTCTGTTCAATTGTCCAACAAAAACTTAGTAACATGGTTGTCAATCCTATACACTTAAACATACAGGCAGTAATCCATACCTTCATTTATGTTGAGATTAAACAAACTAAAGTACGTTAAAATCATTCTGAACAAAGAATAATAGTATTGTTGGATTTCATATCATGACACTCTGTGATCAGCACTGGGTACTGTAGTGTCTTTTTTTAAAAATTTAATTTAAAGGAAGACTAAACAAGACAGAAAATAGAAATGATACATAATTTCAAAGAAAAAATAAATAGTAAGAAATCACTAGTTGATGATTACAGATTGTTTATTGACAAATAGTTATTCAAGATACTAAAATGGAGCTTAAAATGTGGAGATTCAAACAGTGAGACTGCAACCAGTTCTGTCCAGCTATCCGACAAAAACTTAAAAGTATGGTTACCCATCTTATACATTTTTTTATTTTATTTAAGAGGAAAAAGAGAAAAACACAAAACAAAACAAAGCAGTGTAAGGGTACACATAATACAGAATTACAAAAAAAAACATAACAGTAAGAAATCACCTGTTAATAGATTACATATTATCATCTTGAAAATAGTTGCTCAAATCAAAGTATCAAAGAATACAGAGTGGACATTCAAACAGGGAGACTGCAAACAGCTGTGTTCAATGACCCAAAAACATTGATATAGTCAGCTATTTAACACCCCTAAACACAATTGCTGTTATGTCCGTTAGAGTTCTTTTTTTAACCCTCTCTTTTTTACAACAAAATTTACACATTTTGGATTTTATTACTCCTTAGTTCTTATTACTTTTTTGGGGGGGAGAGAATACAGTCAAATATGGCAAAACAAAGCTGTCAGTCAAAATCAAGGATAGACATAGCACATGGCGTAGAACAGAGTACAAGGTTATCAACAATGGTTATCAACGTTGTCTCTTGTTTCCTTAAAAAGAATTGTCTATCTCATTAGATATTATAAAGTTGGACAAAACAGTAGAGAACAACAATAAAACTTAGGCATTGTAAACATTACAGGACTTCCAAAGGAGACAATAGTCAAACCAGAATGGGCATCTTAGTGAATCTTATTGGCTTCAAAGTAGTTGCCTATGTCTTCAAACTTGATACTATCATATAGAATGGAACAGAGTCTAATCAGTCAAAACAAGATCGTGGGAGTACTACAGGACTTCAAAACAAGTTAATAGGAAATCAAAAAGAGTTACTATTATATATCCTAATTTTTTAAATTTTTCCCCTTAATTAAGACAAACATAAGAAATAACTAAATAATTTTTTAAAAGAATAAGGGAGAGATTGAGATAAAACAGGACATAACAATATAACAATAGAGGTCAAAGCTTGACTGTTTCAGCAACCTAGTACTTCACCACCATATAACCTGACTTAATAGTAGTTACTATAGTGTCTGTCTTTTTCCTTGAAATATTTGGATAAAACTTCATAAACTCTAGCTTCAAATATTTCCATATCAAGAAGCCCAGAATAAAGCCTTTCTAATTAATGAGTGAAAACTTTATAAGGCTTCAAGGCCACATAATGGGGAATCATGATTACCACATATTTTTATATATTTGAATCATTACTTACATTAGGGAAACTATTCGGTATTCACACATGCGAGATTGATTTATTTCACTTATGAGTATGGTCTCAAGCTGCGCCCATTTATTAATAAATATCTCAATGTGATCCTTCTTTATAGCTGAATAATACTCCATTGTATAGAAATACCACAACTTTTTTATCCATTCCTGAGTTGATTGACACTTGGGTTGTTTCCAAGATCTGGCGATTACAAATTGTGTTGCTATAAATATAGTGTGCATATATCACTGTGGTATGATGCTTTCAGTTCTTCTGGGAATATGCCTAGAAGTGGAATAGCTGGAATAAATGGGATTTCCAATCCCAACTTTTGGAGAAATCTCCAGACAGATCTCCACAAAGGCTGTACCAGTCTACACTCCCACCAGCAGTGCAGGAGAGTTCCTTTTTCCCCACAGCCTCTCCAGCATTTGTTGTTGGTTTTCTTGATCCTGGCCATTCTTTCAGGAGTGAGATGGTATCTCAGTGTGGTTTTAATTTGCATTTCTCTAATGACCAATGATGATGAGCATTTTTTCATGTATTATTTGCCATTTTCATTTTTTCATCTGAGAATTGCGTATTCATCTCAGATGCCCATTTTTGGATTGGATCTTTGAATTTTGGAGGTCTGACTTTTTTTATTTCTTCATAAGTTTTAGACAAGAGTCCCTTGTCTGAGAGAGAGTTCACTAAAATCTTTTCCCAGTTTGTGGGTTTTCTTTTCACTATGCTGGAGATTTCTTTTGACATGCAGAAACATTTTAATAAGAAGTGGTCCCAGTTATTGATTCTGGGAAGTATTTCCTGTGCGGTTTGAGTCCTGTTCATGAATTCTTTATCTACTCCTATGTCTCCAACGTTTCTACCTAATTTGTCTTCCAATAGATTTAGTGTTTCTGTTTTAATATTCAGATCTTTGACCCATTTAGATTTTAATTTAGTACATGGTGATAGACATGGTTCTAGCTTTAGTTTTTGGCAAATGGAGAGCCAGTTTTTCCAGCACGATTTATTAAAGAGACTGTCGTTCTTCCAGTGAACCTGCTTGGCTCCTTTATCAAAGATACGGTGGTTGAGTGTGTTTGCAGTTGTGGTTGTATCTTCTAATCTATTCCATTGATATTCAGTTCTGTTTTGATTCCAATACCATGTTGATTTTACTACTGTTGCTTTGTAGTATACCTTCAAGTCAGGGATTGTGATGCCTCCTGCTTTGTCTTTGCTGCTTAGAATTGCCTTTGCGATTCTAGGTCTCTTCTGGTTCCAGATGAAATTTAGGAGTGATTTCTCTAGATCTATAAGGTATGTTGAAGGTATTTTTATTGGGATTGCATTGAATCTGTATAACAGTTTTGGGAGAATGGCCATTTTCACAATGTTTGTTCTTCCTATCCATGATCAAGGGATGTCTTTCCTTTTTCTGAGATCATCTTCAATTTCCTTTTTCAGTGTAGTATAATTTTCACTGTATAAGTCTTTCACTTCTTTTGTAAGAGTAATTCCTAAATATTTCATTTTTTTGTTTGCTAATGTGAATCGTCAGTTTCTCTTATTTCCCTCTCTGTGATTTTGTTGTTCCTGTATAGGAATGCTATTGATTTCTGAGTATTGATTTTGTATCCAGCCACATTACTGAATTTATTTATTGTATCTAAGAGTCTTTCAATGGAGTTTAAGGGGTCTTCTATGTAGAGTATCATGTCATCTGCAAACAATGATAATTTAACTTCTTCTTTTCCTATCTTTACCCATTTTATTTCTCTTTCTTGCCTAATTGCTCTGGCTAGTACTTCCAGTACTATATTAAATAGGAGTGGTGATAAAGGACATCCTTGTCTTGTGCCCGATTTTAAAGTAAAGGCTATCAATTATTGGCCATTTAGTATGATTCTGGCTGTTGGTTTGTCATAAATGGCCTTTATTATATTGAGGTAAAGACCATCTATTCCAATTTTCTGTAAAGTTCTTATCATGAATAAATGTTGGACCTTGTCAATGGCTTTTTCTGTATCTATAGAAATGATCGTGTGATTCTTATTATTGGTTTTATTGATATGGTGGATTACATTGATTGATTTGCGTATGTTGAACCATCCTTGCATTCCTGGGATGAATCCCACTTGGTCATGGTGTATAATCTTCTTGATGATTTGCTGCATCCTATTTGCCAATATTTTATTGAGGATTTTTGCATCTGTGTTCATTAGGGAGATTGGTCTATAGTTCTCTTTTATAGTTGAGTCTTTCTCAGGTTTTGGTACTAGAGTAATATTTGCTTCCAGGAATGACTTAGGAAGGATTGTTACCCTTTCAATTTCATTGAATAGTTTGAGGAGTGTCAGCATTAGGTCTTCTTTGTATTTCTTGTAGAATTCTGCAGTGAATCCATCTGGGCCTGGGCTTTCTTGGTGGGTAAGGACTTAATTACATTTTCAATTTCATTAGCAGAGATTGGGTTATTCAACAGTTTTACATCCTCTTGATCTAGCTTTGGTACTTCATATGCTTCTAAGAATCTGTCTATTTCTTCTGTGTTATCAAACTTTTGAGAGTAGAGGTTTTCGAAATAGGTGTTGGTGATCGTCTGTATTTCTATTGGGTCTATCGTGATTTCTCCTTTTTCATTTCTTATTGCATGAATTTGAGCTTTTTCTTCCATTTTTTTTAATAAGGTTGGCTAGGGGCCTATCAATTTTATTCATTCTTTCAAAGAACC